CTTCTTTTAAATTTTAAACCTAATTCAGAAGAGCCTCTAAGGTATCTTAACATCCATTTCATAGCCAGTCAGTGTGTTTCACCTGGATTGGCCATAAACCGCTTAAAACACTAATTCCATGAGCTAAGTCAGGTCTAGTACACACCATAAGATACATTATAAAACCAACAGTGTTTTCATAAGGTACTTTTTCCATTCTTCTACCCTTTGAAAAAGAGACATGAATCATAATTGCTTTTTACAAAACCTAATGTTTGTACATAAGAGTTAAATTTGATGTACCACTACCTGGGGGCTTGTTGCAGCCCATAGAGATATTTCCTCAACAGACAGACCTTTAATGTTTTGGACTTAACTTCAAATCCCAAAGGTTGATTCATATATACAGTATCATCAAGGTTATCATTTAGAAAAGCTGTTTTAACATCAAGTTGATCCAATTCCCAGTTACAGTGAGCAGTGAGAGCTAATAGAATTCTGATAGAGGTATACTTAGCCACATGAAAGAATATTTCATTATAGTCCACTCATTCTTTTTGAGTGAACCCTTTAGCCACTAGTCTGGCTTTATACCTTTTACTTTCTGGATTAGAATCTCCTTGTTTGATTTTAAAAATCTACTTACAATCAACTATCTTTTGATTCTTGGTCCATCAACCAAAACCCAAGTCTCATTCTTAATAAGAGAGTTCATTTCTTCATTAATAGCCTCTTTCCAGAGTTTTGAGTAAGAACATTTAATGGCATCATCAAAGGTATCAGGTTCTGAATTCAAGGACTCAAGAGCAGAAAATAAGGTAACAAATTCATCATTATTGAATTTGGTGAAAGGTCTTATTTCTCTCATCTCTCTTTCTCTTGTTAGTTGATAATCAGCAAGAGTAGTATCAGTAGATTCATTTTCATTTTCAGATTCAGTTTGCTCATGATATGGCTCAGTTTGAGTGGACTTCACCTCAATAGAATCATCTTGATTTACAGCATTTTCAGTTTGATTCTCTAGGATGTTTCTTTAATAGGTGCAGTTTCAGAAGTTTTAAGATCAGATGATTCATTATAAGGCATGTCATTTTCATTAAAGATGACATTTCTACTAACAATCACTTTATAATGATTTTGGCATTTGACCCACAGTCTATACCCTTTAACTTTCTCTCCACAGTCCAGAAAAACACATTTTAAGGACCTAGGTTCAAGTTTACCTTCACTTTGATGTGAAGCAATGCAGCAAAAAACTTT